TCAGCAACAGAGCTTACCAGCAAGCCAAAAATAAGTAAATAATTAACAAAAAAAAAAAAATCCTGGTAAAGGCAAGGCCATCTAGGGAAAAACGGAAACAAGGAGGAAAAATTAAGATTCCACTCCCCACAGGTTACCACCCCCATCACAGTCATTGATTAAACAGGCCACATTTACTGCAGTCACAGTAAAATGTAGTCTTGACCCAGAAACTGTGTTCACAGTATGTTGAGGAAAAGGAAGAAAAATCAAGCAAAACAATGGCACTGTCCCAAGAAAACAGGAGAAGGAAATGGCAACCCACTCCAGTATTCTTGCCTGGAGAATTGCATGGACAGAGGAGCCTAGCAGACTACAGTCCATGGGGTTTCAAAAGTTGGACCTGACTTAGTGACTAAACCATCATAAAGAAAACAGGAGATGAGAACCAGGTGATGAACATTCTCACTCCAAGCAGAAAAGCAAAATCCTCCACCTCACCCTAATCCTGGGAATATCCAGGACACAGTATTTCCACCGAACCCCCGTGTGGTCATTGACCTTCCCCAGGCTGGCAAAAACCCCCCACAGTGTCCCAATATTCTGGTTTCCTGAGAACAACCCCTAACAGCAAGTATGCCCCCGCCCACAGCTAGAATTGCAAGTGTTGGTGGTGGTTCCGCTGGTTGGACTCTCAGCCTCTCTTTTTCTGAAAGATGGCACTTCTCCAAACACAAAGTAGGTCCAAGATTTGAGAAGAAAATCCAAATATAAAAAACTCATGATCCAAAAGGATTCATGCAGCCCAGTGTTCATTGCGGCACTGTTTACAGCAACCGAGACACAGAAGCAACCTGAGTGTCCATCAGTGGGGGAATGGATAAAGAAGATGTGGTACATAGAGGTGACGGAATATTACTCAGCCATGAAAAAGGCTGAAATGATGCCATTTGCAGCAACATGAATGGACCTAGAAATTATCGTATTGATTGAAGTAAGACAGAGGGAAAAAATATTATATGGTATCACTTACATGTGGAATCTAAAAAAAAAAAGTGACAGAAATGAACTTACAAAGCAGAAGGAGACTCACAGATTTAGAGAACAAACATATGACTGCTGGAAGGAAGGGATAGTCAGGGAGTCTGGGATGGACATGGACACACTGCTGTATTTAACGTGGAGAACCAGCAAGGACCTGCTGGCCAGCACAGAGAACTCTGCTCAATGTCACGTGGCAGCCTGGATGGGAGGGGATTTGGGGGAGAATGGATACTTGTACTTGTATGGCTAAGTCCCTTCACTGTTCACCTGAATTTGTCACATCATTATTAATGAACTATAGCCCAATACAAAATGAAAAGTTCAAGATTTTGTTTAAGTTTTTAAAATAAAAAAGATTTAAGAAGCAGAGGAAGATTCAAAGTTCTGTCCTGTGGTTTTAGCCAAACAAGTTTAAAAGTAGGTCACAGGAAATCTTCCTCCACTCCACTAACACTTATCAGACAATTAATGTCACAGTTGCGGAAGTCTTGAAAAGGAGATGTTGGCTATTTGTAGAATATTTTACGAGAGAGAGTTCAAGAAGTAAGACTGTGAAGTTATCGCACTTCATTTATTGTGCATCTCTGAATGAACTCCTGGTGATATGTGATTGATACTCATAGGATTTTTCCATATGACTAATTCCAATTTCTTCTATTTCTCACTCTTCTAAATGCCTAGTTCTATTCCAGTTTGTCTCTTTCTTTCTCTCTTTAGAAAGTCCTGTAGTGAACCTTGAGGACCACAATTCTTTCCCCCTGCATCTTCAGCTCTATCAAGCGTTTAGAAGTCCCAGGGGCCTGGGTAAGTCTCATCATATTTGCCAATATTTTACTAAAGTGATAATGGCAAAAGAGAGAGAGAAAGAGTTAAAGGGTCGGTCCAGTGATGAGCAGAGCCTCTGGTGATGATAAATTAAGACTGTAATAGAACATTCCATGATGACGTTGATGGTCATCTTGAGATAGCACTTCCATCATCTTTCTTTGTTATTAATGCTCACATACTGCTGACTGCTCCCTAAATATGCTGCTGCTGCTAAGTCACTTCAGTCATGTCCAACTGTGCAACCCCATAGACGGCAGACCACCAGGTTCCCCACCCCCCACCCCCGGGATTCTCCAGGCAAGAACACTGGAGGGGGCTGCCATTTCCTTCTCCAATGCATGAAAGTGAAAAGGGAAGGTGAAGTCTTTCAGTTGTGTCCAACTCTTAGCGATCCTGTGGACTGCAGCCCACCAGGCTCCTCTGTCCATGGGATTTTCCAGGCAAGAGTAGTGGACTGGGGTGCCATTGCCTTCTCTGCCCTAAATATGAGGTCTGATATAAAACCAGGAAAAGTAACCTGCAGTAAAAGGGACTCCGATCACTGCTGTGTCTTCCCTCCCCATGCGGAGTTCAGATCTCAACGCATTCCTTTCTCAGAGCATCACAGACTCTGAGGTCTGTAACACGGAAAGATAAGTTCAGTTCAGTTCAGTTGCTCAGTCATGTCTGACTCTTTCTGATCCCATGGACTGAAGCACGCCAGGCCTTCCTGTCCATCACCACCTCCCGAAGCTTGCTCAAACTCATGTCCATCCAAGTCGGTAATGCCATCAACCATCTCATCCTCATCCCTTCTCCTCCCACCTTCAATCTTCCCCAGCATGAGGGTCTTTTCCAGAGAGTCAGTTTTTTGCATCAGGTGACCAAAGGATTGGAGTTTCAGCTTCAGCATCAGTCCTTCTGCTGAATATTCAGGACTGATTCAGGACTCCTTGCAGTCAAAGGGACTCTCAAGAGTCTTCTCCAACACCACAGCTCAAAAGCATCAGTTCTTCAGCACTCAGCTTTCTTTATAGTCCAACTCTCACATCCACACATGACTAGTGGAAAAAGCATAGCTTTGATGAGACAGACCTTTGTACAGGCACTCTTAGCTCTGGCTCTTATTCGTATGATAATATGCAAATAGGGGTTCCTTCATAGACATACGCTTTAAAAATTGCATGGTAACATTACTGAAGACCAGTTTATTTTATGGTGTGCGTGTTTCAATTCAACTTCACATAAATCTAGATTCTATATAAATTTTATTAGTTTCACAATCCTAACTTATTTAAGGAATATTCATTGAACTCCTGTTTATCTTTGGGTGTCTTTGTCGACTTTGTATTCCATTCTATTCTCTTTTTCTACCAGATCAACATGGTCATCATTGTAAAGACTTTGTTGTGGGTTGTGGTTTTTTTTTTTTTTTTGGCTGCATGTGCTGTGTCTTTATTGTTATGGTGAGCGGGGACTATTCTTCATTGTGTTCATTGTGGCTTGCAGGCTTCTCACTGCGTTGGCTTCTCTCATTGCAGAGCATACAGGCTTCAGGAATTGCGGCTCATCAGCCCTAGAACATGGGTTGAGTAGTTGTCATGCACAGGTTTAGCTGCCCCACGCGAACAGGCATCCAACCTGTGTGCCCTGCATTGGCAGGTGGATTCTTATCCACTACGGCACCAGAGAAGTCCCTTTGGTGTATATTCTAATATTCAGGGCGACTAGACTCCCCTCATACACCTTCCTTTTCAGTATAAAATGCACTCCCCTGGCCCAGCATTTTTTATTGACTATATTTGACATATAACACTGTGTATATTTAAGGTGTGCAACTTGTTACTTTATGAGGTACCATGATTGATTGCCGTAAAAGTGTTAGTCACTCAGTTGTGTCCAACTCTATGTGAGTTGGTCTGTCCATAGTCTGTCCATAGAATTCTTCAGGGAAAAACACTAGAGTGTGTTGCCATTCCCTTCTCCAAGGAATCGTCCCAACTCAGGGATAGAACTTGGGTCTCCTGCGTTGCAGGCAAATTTTTTACCATTTCCATGATTGCCATGAAAAGTGAAGTCGCTCAGTCGCGTCCAACTCTTTGAGACCCCACGGACTGTAGCCCGCCAGTCCAGACTGTAGCTCCTCCATCCATAGGATTTTCCAGACAAGAATACCGGAGTGGGTTGTCATGTCCTTCTCCAGTGATTCCAGAGTAGTGACATGTATCACATTCCATGATTATAGTACAGGGTTATTCTCTACAGTTATTATACTGTTCATTAGGTGTCTGTCTGTGACTTAGTTACTGCTCACAGCAGGTTCATAACCTTTCAACGACATCAGTCTTATCCCCCACCCTGGTCCCCTGGTAACCGCCAGTCTACTCACTGACTTGTGTGAGCTTGAAATTAAGTTTCATGTGTGAGATTAATCATACAGCGCTTGTCTTTTTCTGTGTGACTTCTCTCACGGAGCGCAGTGTGCTCAGAGTCCACCTGTGATGCCGCAGATGGCCAGACAGATCTTGTTTTCTCCTGGCTGAACCGCATCCCAGAGTTCACTTATACAGCTCCTTTTTCGTTCAGTCATCTATGGAGAGGCAGGTAGGTGATTTCCATATCTTGGCTGTTGTGAAAAATGCCACAGTAAGTATGGGAGTCCATTTATGTCTTTGTTTTTCCTTAACTTTTACTGGCGTAGAGTAGCTTTACAATGTTGTCAGTTTCTGCCGTACGGTAAAGTGAATCAACCGTATGTATACCTATTTGCCCTCTTTTTTGGATTTCCTTCCCAGCTCAGTCACCACAAAGCACTGAATAGAGTTCCCTGTCCTGTACAGTGGGTTCAAATCAGTTGTCTCATTTATACACATACTGTTTTCATTTCCTTTTAGTATATCCCCAAGTACTGTAATTGCTGCATCACATGGCAGACATCTTTTTAACTTTTTGAGGAACCTCCATTTTTTCCCCCCCATGGTGACTGGATGAAATGTGCTTTTCTTAATGAAAAGAATCAAAATTGGTGAGACCCTTTAGGTGTAAAGCTTCCATAGAATTTGGGAATTTTAAAAAAATCACTTTAGAGGTGTCAGCCCACCCAAACACACCTCAATCCAGACTCTTCGGTACTTCGGAATGTGTTTGTGTACGTCCACAGGAATACATACCCATGTTCTGTATTTGCCTTGTAAAAAAGGAACAGGGCTGCCTTGATATCTTCATTACTGATGACACAGGCTGCTAAATCTCCTCCGTAATTGAACAGAATGAGCATTAAGGTTTCAGAAGGAAAGACTTCAGTGTTGTCTTTTACAAACCGATGAAGACCTGATGACGGAGAATTATAAGGCCAGCTGATATTCAATTGCACTGTCAAACCAAGGTAATTTAATGTTCAATTAATCTCGGGAGGAGGGACAGGCTGTCTCCTGTAGTCCCTTCTTGCCAGTGTGTAAGTATTGTCATAGCAAATAATAGCCTCATCTGACTGTAATGAAGAGGTACATTTTTAGCCAAACATTCTGTCTCCAAGTAGCCCATATGTCTAGACCAGACATTTCGCAAGAATTTCTAAATGTGTGAGATGTTTGGAGTATGTTTTTTACTGTAAAATGTGCTGTCTTAAAAGCTCCCATTAGTTTATTACCAAGTTTATTACCATAGGTATAATTGTAAGAAATTGTTAGTAGACAATTTTGAAAATCCCTTTGCAATTAAGGTGTTTTAATTCTTATTTTTCAGTTGTCCCAGTCAGTGAATCATTAAAAGCTTTCTGACAAGTTTTCTGTTGACAATGATTGTTGTTGATGTTCAATCGCTCAGTCATGTCCGACTCTTTGCAGCTCCATGGACTGCAGCATGCCAGGCCTCCCTGTCCTTCACTGTCTCTGGGAGTTTGCTCAAACTCATGTCCACTGAGTCGGTGATGCCAGCAAACCATCACATCCTCTGTTGTCCCCTTCTCCTCCTGCCTTCAATCTTTCCCAGCATCAGGATCTTTTCCAATGAGTCTGCTCTTTGCATCAGGTGGCAAAAATATTGGAGCTTCAGCTTCAGCATCAGTCCTTCCAATGAATATTCAGGGTTGATTTCCTTTAAGAATGACTAGAAATGCAAAAATACAGTAAAATCCTGAGTAATGGAATGCCACTAGTCAAACACTGAAATATTTTCTTTTTATTTAATGAGATTTATGAGGAAAGGGGAACTATTTTAGGGATTTAAAAAAAAATCACACCTAAAAAAAAGTATTTCCCCTAGTCGTTTCCATTTCTTTTCTATAAAGACTGAATTTTATTCTAAAAACATTACCAGTGGCTATAAATCACTGGAGAATTGTCACCACGCATAGAATGGCCATATCTTCATGTTATATCTTAATTTCTTTTGTAGAATATTAAGTGTATTCGATTTAGACACATGATTTGAACATATATTAGTGGCATGTAGTTGTTCAGTCAGGAAAAAAAATACACTTGTAATAACAAGTGACTCTTAAACTTGTGACTTAGAGAATTAGAAAATTGCTTTAGTTAGAGTGAGTTGGCCAAGAAGTTCACTCCGGTTTTTGTATACCGGCTTACAGAAAAACCCGAACGAACTTATTGGCCAGCTCAATATAATACGCCAATAAATACAAAAACACATTTTCAATTCAATGTCTTTTTCAGATAAAATATGATTAGCCTTTCTAGTTTCATTCTTGTTAAAGTTTCAATTAGATAATAAACTTCTTAAATCATCAGATACAAAGATAGCTTGAATAAAACTGTCCTATGCTACCAATCTAATTTTGAACAGTTTTGCTATTTATATTTATCTGCACCCATGTCCTGCACATAACACACTGCTGCTGCTAAGTCGCTTCAGTCGTGTCCGACTCTGTGGGACCCCATAGACGTCAGCCTACCAGCTCCCCCCATCCCTGGGATTCTCCAGCCAAGAACAACGGAGTGGGGTGCCATTTCCTTCTCAAATGCATGACAGTGAAAAGTGAAAGTGAAGTCGCTCAGTCGTGTCCAACTCTTAACGACCGCATGGACCACAGCCTACGAGGCTCCTCCGTCCATGGGATTTTCCAGGCAAGAGTACTGGAGTAGGGTGCCATTGCCTTCTCCACTTAACACACTAAGTTTTGAATTATTCTGTCCTCTGGCCTGTCATTTATGGGATGCTTTGTTGGAATCAAGGGAATGGCTTTCTTGTTCTGAATCAGTCTCTAATCACCCCCAATCGCCATTGGCCGATGTTCTCACCTGTGAAATGCAATGTGGGCAGGTTAGCATCCAAGATGGCGGGCTGGGCAGCATCCAAGATGGCGGGCTGGGCAGCATCTAAGATGGAGGGTTGGGCAACATCTAAGATGGTGGGCCAGTCAGCATCCAAGATGGCGGCCAGTCAGCATCCAAGATGGCGGCTTGGAGCGGTCATCAGGTAGAAGCGGCTCAATTGTATTCTTTGCTGAGAAGTAATGGAGGCTTAGTTGGAAACAGTATTGATCTTTTAGTCTACATGGGAACCAGAAGAGTGTCCCAAACACCTGCTCCTGGTGGCCCTCAAATGTCAATTTGACGGTGTTTGTGTGTCTGTTTAAAAGGGAAGTTTGCCATATAATGTGTAGGTCTATTTCTCAAGTTGTGATTCTGTTCAGTTGATCTGTTTATCTGTCTAAACACCAATATTATATTGTCCTGATGTCTATAACTTCAGTATGTGTTGAAATCGTGCGAGACCTTCAGATTTATTCTTTTCACTTTTTTTATTTGTTTGTTTTTGGCTCTTCTATGCTATTTAAATTTACATATGAATTTTAGAATAAGTTTATCAATTTTGACAAAAAGCCATCTAGCTGAGGTTTTGACTAGGATTGTGTTGAACCTATAGACTGGGTGGAGGAGAGCTAACATCTTGGCAATAGATAGTGTTTTAAACCATAAACAAAGTAACCTTTTCATTTATTTAGATGGTTTTCAAATTCTGTCAGCAATTTTTTATATTTTGCAGCACACAGGTATCGCACATCTTTGTCAGAATCATCCCAAAGTGTTTCATCCATTTGATGCTACTATATTTGAGATTGCTTTCTAAGCTTTGATTTTTGAATGTATAGAAGTAAAATTTAGATGTTGATATTTTATTTTACAACCATGCCAAACGCACTTAATAGTTCTAGCACTTGTTGTGTATATACCATTGGATTTTTCCTACACAGATGATCTCGTTATGTGTAAATACAGTTTTAATTCTTCCCTTCTAATCTAAATGTTTAAAAGCTATTTTTCCATATCTCTCTGTCTAGAGTCTTCAGTACAATGGTAAGCGGAAGTGCTGAGAGCAAACATACTTGCCTTTTTTCTGATTTTAGCAGTGAAGAATTTACCCTGAAAAAATGCTAATGGTTGTAGATTTTATGTAGATGCCTTTTAGGACATGGAGGAAGTCTCTCTTTTCTCACTTCTTTTTTTTTTTTATCATACTTTAAAAAAGATCAGGAATGCGTATTGAATTTCAATAATTCTTTTGCATGTATTAAGATGATCTTTTTTTTTTTTTTCCTTTTTAACTGGTCACTGGCATACTGATTTTTGAATAATAAAACAAGCTTACATCCTTGAAATGATCCTCCTTGGTCATGATATATTATCCTTTTTAGACTATTTTAATGCAGTTTTCAAGGCATGAGTTTAGACTTTCCAACCCTATGTTTATGAGGAATATTGGCTTGTAGTTTTCTGTTCTTGTGCTGTCTCTGTCTGATTTTATACAACAGTTCAATTTCACTTTTCCAGTCGTATATGACAGCATATACTATTATTGTCACATTTCAATATTACATATATTATAAATCTCACAATACAGTCCTGTAATTTTGTTTGACCCATCAGTTATGTTTAAAGATATTTAAATAAGAAAGATATAGATTTATCAAGGAGCTCATATGGTGTTCTTCACTCTTATGTTAAAGCAGATATCCATCTAATATCATTTTTCTTATATCTGAAAGATTGTTTGGAAATTTATTATAATACTGGTCTTCTGGTCATGATTTTTTTTCCAGATTTATATGCATGTCTTTTCTATACTGTTGTTTAACTTAAAGATATTTTTTCTTGGCTTAGAACCATAGGTGACCAGTTTTATTCTGGTGTGTGTGCGTGTGTGTTTAATTAGTATCTTGAATATGTTTGCTAGTGACAAGAAGTCTAAAATTATTCTGATCTTTGTCCTCTGTTTAAAACATGTTTCTTTCTTCTGGGGCTTGTGAAAATTTTATCTCTGTCACTGATTTTGAGCAATTTGATTATGATGGTAAAATTGTATTCGTCTCTTGCACTTGGAGTTTTGTTGAGATTCTTGAATCTATAGTCTCCTAGCTTTCCTTAAGTTTTGAAAGTTTCTGCCCATTATATTTTCAAATGATTTTTCAGTCCTCTTCTCTCTCCTGTCCTCTGAGTATTCCAGTCACCCATGTATTAGGATACTTGAGGTTGTACTGCAGTGAATTTATGCTTCCCGCCACCCCCCCTCTGTGTCCGGTTGACCCTTAAAGAACTTGGGAGTTAGGGAAACTGACTCCTGGATAACCCCACATTACTTTGTATCAATAATTGCTCTTCCATATCCATGGTCCTGCATCCAGATTCAGTCCATCACTCATCATGTAGTACTGTAGTATTTTGGGGGAAAAAATAACAAAATCCACATATAAGTGGCCCCCAAACAGTTCAATCCCCTATTGTTCAAGGTTCATCTCTATTTCATTTTGGGTATTTTCTGTGGCTGTACTTCAAATTAAATATAGAACACTGTGAATTTTACCACTTTGAGTTTGAAAATTATTTCTGTGAAAGTCTTAGGTTTCATTCTGGGATGAGGTGAGCTCTTAGGAGGAAGACTGGTCTCCTGGAGTCTGGCTTACGAGGTTTGGCAAGCAGACTCTGAGCTGTGCTCAGTCTATGGTGAACAATTTCCTGCTTACGAAGGCTGAACCTTCCTCAACACTGCAGTGTCTTGTGTACTGTGAAATTTCGTTCCTTTCTGACTGAGGAGGAACAGGCACTTCTGTGGTCCTCCCGGAGGCCCGAGTGCTGTCCTACTGAATCCTTTTGGATGGGTATATCCCCAACAGGCTTGTCTGGTGGCTCAGATGGTAGAGAATCCGCTTGCAGTGCGGGAGACCCGGGTTCCATTCCTGGGCTGGGAAGATCCCCTGGAAGAGGGCATGGCAACCCACTCCAGTATTCTTGTCTGGAGGATCCTGCGGACAGAGGAGCCTGGTGGGCTACAGTCCACGGGGTCACAAAGAGCCGGAGATGACTGAGCAACTA